CTGGGTTAGGGTTTTTAACATAAAGTGATGTTGGATTTTGTCGAAGGTGTTTTCTGTATCTATTGATACTATTATGTGGTTTTGGTTCTTCAGTTTTTGGATGTGGTGTATCACATTTATGGATTTCTGTATGTTGAACCATCCCTGCATTCCCTGGATGAATCCCACTTGGTCTGGATGTATGATCTGTCTGATGTTTTTTTGAATTCTATTGGCTAGGATTTTATTGAGAATCTTGGCATCAATGTTCATCAGGGAGATTGGTCTGTAGTTCTCCTTCTCTGTTAATTCTCTATCCAGTTTTGGGATTAGAGTGATATTGGCTTCATAGAATGAGTTTGGAAGGGTTGCTTCCTTTTCTATTGTTTTGAAGAGCTTGTAGAGGATTGGGATTAGCTCTGCTTGGAATGTTTTGTAGAATTCTGCGGTAAAGCCATCTGGGCCTGGGCTTTTCTTTGTTGGGAGATCCTTAATCACTGATTCAATCTCTGCTTCAGTTATGGGTTTATTCAGGTCTTCTGTTGCTTCTGAGGTGAGTTTTGGTAAGTGGTGGGAAGTCTAGGAACCTTTCCATTTCCAAATGGTTTTCTGATTTGTTGGAGTACAGCTCTTTGTAATAATTTCTGATTATTTTCTTAATGGTTGCAGTGTCTGTTGTTATGTTGCCTTTGTTATCTTTGATGCTACTAATTCTCACTTTTTCTTGCTTTTTCTTTGTTAATCGGGCCAGTGGGGTGTCTATTTCATTTATTTTCTTGAAAAACCAGCTTTTTGATTCATTGATTTTGTGTGTGGTCTTTTTGGTTTCTATTTGACTTATTTGTTCCCTTGTTTTGATGATTTCTTGTTTCCTCTTGTTTGTGGGGTCATTCTGTTGCTCTTTTTCCAATTCCTGGAGGTGTGTGTTTAATTCCTGTATTTGATTCCTTTCTTGTGCCTTGACATGAGCATTAATTGCAATAAATTTACCACATAGCACTGCTTTGGCGGTGTCCCACAAGTTTTGGAATGTTGTATCTGGGTTTTCATTAGTTTCCATAAATTTTTTGATCTCGTCTTTGATTTCTTCTCTAACCTATTGCTCGTTTAAGAGCATATTGTTCAATCTCCAGGAGTTTACATATTTCCTGGGGCATTTTGAGTTGTTGATTTCCAGTTTCATTCCGTGATGATCTGAGAAGGTGCATGGTATGATTCTGATTTTTTTGTATTTAGTTAAACTTGCTTTGTGTCCTATCATGTGGTATATCCTGGAGAAGGTGCCATGCACTGCTGAAAAAAACAATGTATACTCTGCGGCCTTAGGATGAAATATTCTATAGATGTCTACCAAGTCCAGTTGTTCTATTGTTTGTGTGAGCGCTGTACCTTCTCTGTTGAGCTTTTGTCTCTTTGACCTATCCAATGAAGTTAATGGTATATTCAGATCTCCAAGAATTATTGCGTGTTCATCTATATCTCCCTTTAAGTCCATAAGAAGTTGTTTCACGTAGCTGGGTGCATCTGGATTTGGAGCATAAATGTTAAGAAGGGTAATTTCTTCCTGATGTATCTTGCCTTTCAACAATATATACCGTCCTTGCCTGTCTTTTTTGATGTTTGTTATGTTGAAATTGGTTTCGTCAGAAATTAGAATCGCTACACCAGCCTTTTTTTTTCCCATCCATTGGCGTGGAATATCCTTTTCCATCCCTTCACTTTCAGTTTTTTTAGCGTCTTTTCTGGTTAGATGCGTCTCTTGTAGGCAGCAGATATTTGGGTCCTGTTTGTTAATCCAGTCTGCTAATCTGTGTTTTTTGATTAATGAATTGAGGCCATTTGTGTTAAGAGTTATTATTGAGATGTTGTGATTTTGTCCTGCCATGTACGTGTGTCTTTGAGGATGTTGGTTTCTGAGTGTCTTTCCTTGCATGAGCTTTAATGTGGTAGTCTTCCCGCTTGCCATCCTTGCTTGTGGTTTGGTTCTTTTTTCTCTGGAAGTAGTGTGTTTCTGAGGAGATTTGGAGAGCTGGTTTTGTGCTGGCATATTCTTCTAATTTCTCTTTGCTATGGAAGTATTTAATTTCATTCTCGAATACAAATGAGATCTTTGCTGGGTACAATATTCTTGGTTGACTGTTGTTCTGTTTCAGTATTTGAAAGATTTTATTCCATTCCCTTCTTGCCTGGAGCGTCTGTTCTGAGACGTCAGCGGTGATTCTGATGGACCTGCCTCTAAATGTAAGCTTGTCTTTGCTTTGTGCTAGCCTCAGGATTCTTTCTTTGTGTTCGCTGGAGGGAAGCTTGATTACCACGTGTCTGGGAGAAGATCTTTTTGGGTCAATCCTGTGGGGCGTTCTCTGGCCTTCTTGGATTGGGACTGGGCTCATGTTCTGGGCATTTTGGAAGTTCTCCTGTATAATTTTGTCGAGCATTGGTTGTATGCCTGTCTCTCTTTCCACTCCTTCTGGGAGCCCCATAATTCTGATATTTGACTTTTTCATGTGGTCGTTCAACTCTTGATATGCCTTGGACACCTTGGTAATTGTGTCTCCAGTTGGTTAATGATTTGTCTGCTTTCGTTTTGGGAGTCTTGCAATTCGGATATCCTATCTTCTGCTGCAGTAATTCTGTTGGATAAGCTTTTGACTGTGTTTTTGAGGTGTTGAATTTCGGTTTTGAGTAATTTTGTTTCTGTAATTATGTGATTTTTGAGTTCCTTAAGGTCTTTCCATTGTTTTTCCTTGTCTCTGAAGAGTATCATAATCATTTTTCTGAACTCCTTGTCTGATACGTTTTCAATGTCTTCATCTGTAATCTTTGTGATTGGCCAGGCCTTTTGGTGAGTTTTTGGAGCAGGACTGGCTCCTTCTTCTGGATCATTTTTCTTCTTTCGCGGCATGGGCATCTCTGCTGCCACCTAGTGGGTGACCTGAAGTATTGCTGGTCTAGGTTTTTTTTTTTGGTCTCAGGTTCCTGTTGTTACTGACCAAACCTGTTTTTCTTTTTACTTGCGGCTCAACCTAATTGTGGTAGCCTGTGTTTGCCAGGTTTGGCCTCCTGCTGGAGGGAGGACCGCTTCCCAATCGCTTGGCCGGTCCTGTCTCTTGCCAAATGCAGGCACCTTCCCGTTGCAGTGGCCCACCCGGTTTCTTCCCTGTGGTATCAGTTTACCAAAGTTTCTGCAGATTAAGGCTCTCACACTGCCGCTCTCCGGCTTTCCAAAGCGGAGGCACCTTCCCTCTTTACTGATTCACAATTCACCGCAGCTCGTGCCAGCCTCCTACCAAAGTCCGCAGTCCAGGGCTCCCCCCCACACCCCCGCCACTTTCCGGCTGCCCAGAAGGAAGGCACCCTCCCTTTTTACCGATTCACACTTCACCGTAGCTAGTGTTAGCCACCCACCAAAGTCCGCAGTCTAGGGTTCCCTCCCTACTGCTCTCCGCTGTCCAGTGGAAGACACCCTCCCTCTTACTGATTCACAATTCACCGCGGCTCGAGCCTACCAAAGTCCGCAGTCTAGGGCTCCGTCCCTGTCGCTCTCAGGCTGTCGATCCCAGTGTTTCGCAACTTCTCTACTGCTGCGCACCGTCTCCACACATTTTCTTCTTTTCCCATATATAGCAGAGAGGGGGATACAAGAGGAGAAGCCAAGCCCAGCTTCCCAAGCACAGCATTACCCCGGGGACTGGGGAACTGGCAGTCAATCTCATCCCAAGTCCCCCACTGTGGAGCGTTTTCTGAGGGTTCTGCTCATGCGGTCTCGATAGTTCTGAGATGCTGCTGCTGACATCGCCTTTCGAAGGTTGAGGAAATCCTTCTGAGGTCAATTGGCTGTCATAGTCTGCCCCTGAGTCTCCATTGGGTCAGAAATTTGCTGTCAAGTTTCACTGGGGTAGTTGATCAATTTGTTCTGCCCTCCACCCTCAGCAAAGCAATGGGTGTTGCAGCCCAGCCCAGCCCTGCCCAACACACGCTCAACCCTCATGTATCACAGGGAGAGCTGCAAACCAAGCAGAGCGACCTCCAACAATCCCCACTGGACTGGAATCCCCAGCTTTGGTTCCTTTGCCTGCAACATGTTCAGTCTGCCCCACATCCCATTGAGATCTCATACACATCACTGGGCAATGAAGCCTGACTCAACCCAACCGACTCCGCCTTCCAGCCCACACTCATGCCAGCGGGTGCCACTACCTGTCCAGCCAAGCCCGCCCCCAGTCCTGGTTCTCATGCTCTCCAGTGGGAGTTGCAGCCCATCAGAGAGCCCACAACCTCCCCACTGGACCCACTCCCTGCCCCAGGTTTTGCACTCTCCAGGTGGTTTTGTAGTCTAGCTTGACAGGACTTGCCCCAAGTCCTAGCACTTGCCAGCTGATGCTGCAGTAAAGTCCAACTCACTTGCCCTTATTTTGGTTCATTCCTGTACCAGTGGATATAATTGGCTACCCCAGCCTGGCTCTCCCCCAACCCAGTTTACATGTAGGCCAACAGGTGTTGTAGCCCTGCCCAGCCTGGTCTACCTCCAGTTTCAGCTATCACACTTGCCAGCATGAATGGTGGCCCAGCATTGGAGTCCCCACTCCCCTACCAGGCTCAACCCCTGCCCCTGTATCATGTGTGCTCATGGGTGCTGTGGCCCATTCTGGCATAGCCCGTCTTACCTCAGCATTTTTCAGTGGGTACTACTACAGCCTGGCCTCTTCTGCTCCCATTCCAGCTCATGTTGATTAGAGCTGCTGCCCAACCTAGTGCAATCAGCCCCCAGTCCCGGTCCTAATGTGAACTGGCTGGTGATGTGGCCAGACCCAGCCTGTCCTGCACCCTATCCTGGTTCTCAGATCAGCCAGTGTATGTTATGAATTGGCCCAGCCTGGCCTGTCCCCATACCTGAGCCACACGTATGCTGGCAGGTGCTGTAACCTGGTCTGTTCTGAGCTGCTCCTTGCCTTCATTTTTGTACTAATGTGCAGGAACTGCAAACTTCTCTATCAGATCTCCTCTCAGTGGCAGATCCTGCACACACTGGTGGGTCCTTAGCCTCGGGATGAGTTAGTCCCCCTCCTGTCCTGGCAGGAACAATGGCCTCGCCCAACTGGCCCATATCAAATCCAGTTCTTACTGTTGGGTGTTACAGCCCAGTCCATGACCTGATGCAGCTCTCATGTGGCCCAGTGGGAGCGGAAACCTAGCCCAACCTGTCCTACACCCACTCTGGCTCTCAAGAGTCCAAGTGGGTGCTGGAGTCTAGCCCAGTCTGGCACACCCCAGAGTCTGTCCATGTCCATGCTGATGGACACTGCAGCCATATTCAGCCCAGACACCACCATTCTGGCTCTCATGCTCACCAGTGGTAACCACAACCTAGCTGGGACATCCTCTTAGCTCTCTAACCAGGTCTGTTCCCAGCCCTAGCTCTTGCACATGCCAGTGGTTGCTCTGATGTAGCTCTGCATAGCCCATCCCTGTCTTGACCTTTGCCATCAGATGCTGCAGATGGTTTGTTCCAGCTCTTACCCAGTCCCAGCTCTCACTGGCAGGTGCTACAGCCTGGTCATGCTCAGTCTACTTCCATCCCTGACTCATGCAAACCAGCAGGTGTGATAGCCTAGCCAGGCATGCCCCACTTACCAGCCTGGCTTCTGCACTTGCCAGTAAGCTAAGGTTGGCCTGGCTCTGCCCGGTCCACCCCCTTCCAAAACCACCCCACATGCATGTGGACACTTGGAGCTACCATACCCAGTCTGACTAAAACCAGGCCTGAGTCACATGCTCACAAGCAAGAGCAATGGCCTGTCAGGGGAGTTGCCCTAGTTTCCCCACCAGACCCACTCCCAGACCCATAGCTCACCCATATCAGTGGGTGCTAGGCCCTTACCGAACATAGGCTAACACCTCTGTGTTGCACATGTATGAGTGGTAGATGTTGTGGCTCGGCCTGCCCCATACCATATTCTTGGGTGCAGGTGCTATAGCCTACACCAACCCAGAGTGTATCCAGCCCCAGCACCCATTAGTGTTGGTGGTTCCACGGTCATGCCTAGCTCAGCCTGTCACCACCCCTGGCTCCAAGTGAACCAGTTGAGATTGCAGATCAAAGAGGTGGGCCCAAACATCCCCCACAGAACATACCCCAAATCCAGTTCTTTTGCGTGCTGGTTAGTGCCATGGCCCAGCCTAGCATTACTCATCCCCCATTTCGACCTTTGTTGGTGAGTACTGTGATCTAGCCCTGCCAGGTAGGCCCCAGCCCTAGCCTTAGTGTACACCAGTGAGTGGTATTTGGCATTAGTCATTACTAACTACCCCAGCTCTGCCATCCCTCTAAGGCTGCTGGGTTTGTCTAAACCTTAAAGGTCCATTCATACCCCCACAAGATCCCACTGCCAGGTGGCCCAGGTGCTAAAGACGTCCAGTGAAGCCCAGGGGCTGCCCAGACTGAGCCTTGCTGCCTGGCAGCTTAGAGCCTTGGCTAGCCAGCCCCCTCTGGCTCCAAGCAGCTGGCAGGTTGATTGGCTCAGGCCTCTCACCAGACCCAAGCCCCACCCCTGTGGTTCAGGCCCCAAACGCTTTCCATGATCTCTCTAGATTACCTTTGTATTAAATAAATTAATTAGGATTAATGTCAACCTAGCTGGATCTCAAGAAAACAATTTTAATAGAGGAAGCAAGCTGTAGAATAACATTTGGAATACATTTACGTAAACGTATGAAATATACACTCTTTAACTATAAGGAAAACAGGCCATAACATTACCACATTGAAATTATGATGCCAGTTACTTCTTGGAAGTATATGGAGGTATCAGAATTCTTAGCATTTTTCTGTGATTTAAAGTACTTCATAACCAAAAGAAGGTAATGCCTCAGTAGACCTTGCAAGGATGGTGCAGATAGCGAGTACAGCGAGTAGTATTTTGGTTGAGACACTCATGTCTCATATCAGAGTACCTGGGGTTGAATCCAGCTCTTGCCAGTGTAAGGTTCTCGGAGGCACCAGATGATGGCTGAAGTAGTTGGTTTTTCCCTCCTAGGTGGGAGACTTGATTGAGTTGCTAACTCCCAACTTTGGCCCCTGGTCTGTTGCAGGCAATTGGGGAATGAACCAGTGGACAGGAGCTCTCGCTATCTCTACCTCTATCTCTTCCTCTGATTCCTTTTCTTCCTCTCAAATGAATTATTTTTTTAATTCCTTGGAGGAAAAGGTAAATACTTTCATTTAAATTTTGGCCCCTTGTTTATTTGGGCAATCATAAATGGGGGAGTGTTTTCTTTATTGAAAACCCTTGACCCACAGATTGGCTAGCTCATGATATGATGATGCTGAATTTGATTGAAAGCTCCTGAAAGGGCAGCTCTGTGATAGTTATATTAAACATACATTCATAAAGATAAAATCATTAATGAAGTCTTTGTGTATAGAAACTAATTTTAGAATTTGGCATATGTTTTAAGGTGTGTGTGTGTGTGTGTGTGTGTGTTTGAAAGACAGATTTACAGAGAGAAGGAGAGCCAGAAAAAGATCTTCCGTTCACTGGTTCATTCCCCAAGCGGCAGCAACAGCCAGAGCTGAGCCAATCTGAAGCCAGGAGCCTGGAGTTTCTGGGTCTCCCACATGGGTGCAGGGTCCCAAGGCCTTGTGCCATCCTTTACTGCTCTCCCATACCACAAGCAGGGAGCTGGATGGGAAGTGGTGCACCCAGGACACAAAGCTGTGTCCATATGGAATCCCTGTGGATACAAGGTAAGTATTTAGCCACAAAGCTACTGCCCCAGGCCCCCAGCATATTTAACAGCGTTTTATCCAACACCTCACATCTCATAACTCTTTGTTTACTTTACACAACTTCCTAGATAAAAGTTTTGGAGAAGGTAAGATGAGTATGGACAAGGAGAGGGAAAATACTACGTAAGAAGATGGTTCTAGATTATGAAAGGACTGGTGTGTTACATATAATAACCCTAACATTGTTGATACAATTTATGCCTTGTACACTCTACTAAAAATCACAACACAACATACTCATATGCCACTTCTCTGAATTTGACCTTTCCACTTCTCACCAACTGTCTGTGTTTTCCTTTTCCTTTGAGTAATTGTAAATCCTCCTTGGAACAAATTTTTTGTGTTTTGTTCACTGCTGTATTTCGAGCATATACTGGAGTGTATTGGCTGAAAACACACATTTAAAAACTGCTAGTGAATGAATAAATTGAATTAATGAATTAAGGTACATTTGGAAGTTGAATAGTGAAAAGACAAGCTTCTACTATGGCTTTTTCCCATTTTCCTTATGAAGTAGGCTGAGTGAGGGGGGTAGATGAGGAATAATGGCAGTAGGATTAGGAAAATAGTGAGAACTTACAGCAGTGTCTGTGAAAGTAGCCATAAAACACATTTACTTCCTTTGCTTAGGAATATCACCATCAACATCACATTACATAAATCTCATTCTATTTTTTTATTCCCAATGTACTGTTGAGCTATTTGAGTGAATGTGCAACAATAAGTCTTTGCATTTATCGATGTAGCATAAATGGTTACTATGATGTTGGAAATAATACAAAATATAATGAACCCTCTCATTTGCAGGCTATTCTATGTCAACTTTCATCAGATGATATAGCATATATTTGATTGAAAGTCTTTTGCATATAGACAGATTACATTTGACATCGTAAAAACTATGGCAGGGTCAGTAAACAGTTTTAATTTGTAAGCAACAAACACTGAGGGCCTGGCACAGTGGCCTAGCAGCTAAAGTCCTCGCTTTGAATGCGCTGGGATCCCATATGAGAGCTGGTTCTAATCCCGGCAGCTCCACTTCCCATCCAGCTCCCTGCTTGTGGCCTGGGAAAGCAGTGGAGGATGGCCCGGGACCCTGCACCTGCGTGGGAGACCTGGAGGAAGTTTCCGGTTCCCGGCTTCAGATTGGTGCAACACCGGCCATTACGGTCACTTGGGGAGTGAACATGGGATGGAAGATCTTCCTCTCTGTCTTTCCTCCTCTCTATATCTGACTTTGCAATAAAGATAAATAAATGTTTAAAAAGAACACTGAAATTTATGTAATTTACTTTGTAGTTTGCCAAAAAATAGCTCCATTTCAAACAAATTTCATGAACATTCATAAGAGTTTGAGACACACTATGTCATTAACATGTTGCAGTCAAAAGAACTAAGAGTTAGTGTTACACACACCAAAGTCATTGCAGTTGCTACTCACAAATGGAATTAAACTGTCTTACAAAAATGTGACCCAGTGGTGCAGTGGAGCTGCCTCATACCAGCTTGTAAGAACTAGTTGCAGTGTCATAAAGTTGGAATGATGATTGTTAAACATTCATCCTTTGAGATTAAATATTCATCAGTTTTTCTTTTAAGAAACATTTAGTGATGTCATATACATGCATTTTATCTCTACTGTTCCAACTTCACATGATACAAACTAGGGCTTGATTTTTGGTTTATGACTTAACTAGAGCTAAGAAGTGCTGAAGAAAATGTTACTAATTGGACGTGGTACAATAGCCTAGTGGCTAAAGCCCTTGCCTTGTACACACTGGGATCCTATATAGGTGACAGCTCATGTCCCAGTTGCTCCAATTCCATCGAGCTCCCTGCTTGTGGCCTGGGAAAGCAGTCGAGGACAGACTCTGCACCCACATGGGAGACCCTGAAGAAGCTCCTGGCTCCTGGCTTCGGATCAGCTCAGTTCTGGCTGTTGTGGCTACTTGGGGAGTGAACCAGTGGTTGGAAGATCTTTCTTTCTGTAAATCTGACTTTCTAATAAAAATAAATTTTAAAAAGAAAATCTTACTAATTCATACTGAGCTTAAAAGTGGGTTATATGCATAGCCATCACATTGTGAACAGCACAAAAGTGAGGCCACATTTTTTATTTTTCCGATATTTGAAAACCATTATCTAGTTTGGCAAGAAGTCACTCAGGTCATTAATGAATGAGTAAGGGATCAAAATATAAGCAATTGTTAAAATATTTTTTCTTAGTTCTTTAAAAAAAAAAGATTTATTTGCTTTTATTAGAAAGGCAGGTATACAAAGAGAACAGATACAGAGACAAAGATCTTCTGTCCATTGGTTTGCTCCCCAAGTGGCCACAGTGGATGGAGCTGAGCTGATTTGAAACCAGGAACCAGGAGCTTCTTCTGGGTCCCCCACTCGGGTGCAGGGACTCAAGGCTTTGTGCCATCTCTACTGCTCTCTCAGGCCACAAGCAGGGAGCCGGATGGGAAGTGGAGCAGCTGGGACAGGAACCATGGCCTACATGGGTTTTGGCACTTGCAGTGGGGAGAATCAGCGGGGAGGATTGAGCTATCACACTAGAGCATACTCCTACCCCTGTTCTATTTCTTTTTTAAAATGTTTTTTTATTTTTATTTTTATTTTTTACCTGAAAGGCAGAGTTACAGAGAGAGGGACACACACACACAAAGAAGCGGGGGTGGGGGGGTGAGAAGAGAGAGAGACACAGAGAGAGACAGGGAGAGAGAGACTCTTCCATCCACTAATTCACTCCCCAAATGTCCACAATGGCCAGATATAGTGGTCTGAAGCCAGCAGCTTCTTTTGGGTTTCCCACATGGCAGCAGTGGTCCAAGGACTTGGGGCATCTTCCACTGGCTTCCCAGGTGCATTAGCAGGGAGCTTGATTGGAAGTGGAACAGCCAGGACACAAACTGGTGCCAAATTGGGATGCTGGTGCCGCAGATGGAGGCTTCCTTGTTATGCTACAGTGCTGTCCCCAATGTTATTGTAAAACACAATCTTATTGAGCAATAAATGGTAAAAGTTGGGGATACTAAAGTTTTATTGAAGAATAATCATATTCACATTCAGATAACAGCTAGATCTGAAACTTACAGGGTGACCGCCTCTCTTTCTTTCTCTTTTGCGCGCGTGCTTTTGCCCTCTTTTTTTTTTTTCCATCCCCCAACCTGGGAGATGAGAAAACGACCATATTTAGAATTAGTAAGGTTAATGTACTGTTGAAAAAGCTATTAACATGGGGCTTCTTCATTTTGCTGCAGCCACGTAAGGCAGGAAATTGAGGAGTAAGAAGAACTGATGTGTTATTTTCCAATTAAGAGGAACCTAGAAAGGAATATATTCAGTAGTGCAAATGTGGGAATTATTTGTTTTTATTTGTAAGGGAGTAAGGTCATAAACTGATGAAGTTTTTTATTTGAAGTTTCACAGAAAAAAATGGTTCAAAAGTGAAATAATTTATCTCTTAGATAAATTTATCCTAAATTAGAAATAATGATGATTTGCAAACTGACTCCCCAACGTTTGAAGACATTGATCAGGTAAAACAATGATTGCTGTGGATATACCACTAAAATTGAACTGTTAGGTCTAAAAGATCCCCGAACCATGGAGAGACAAGTTCCACATGCAACAATGCAAAAGCAAAGCAACTTTATTGCTAGCTCGAGCTGGGGTCCATGTTTCATCTATTGCAGTGGAGTCTTGACAAGGACTCCGTTTGTCTCTCGCAGACTGTTTTTATTCGCTCCTAGTCACGAACAAGCAGTCCTTATCTTGGTCACATTTAACTCGTACGGGTGTAGGTCACGTTCCCATGCAACCTGTACAAGTACAGACCACATTCCATTTGCGGACGTGTGGATGCCTCTGATTGGCCCATCTCCAAGGTCGATTCCCCCCTGCCCACTCCATCACTCTGAGGAAAATGCAACTTTGAAGTGAAGTGAGACTTAGGCCTACTCCCTGACCTTTGGCCCATCATGGCGTCAGTCCTGTTCTTTATGCAGCAAAGCTAGGCAACGATTACAGAAACCAAGTATAGCAGTCTTGTTAACAGTTAAACTCCCTTATCACTACTTAGCACTCCTGTATTCCTACTACTATTATGTTTACTTATTTACTATTTATCCCTAATGACCTTTTAACACTAATCAAGAGTAAATCCCTGCCACCTAGCCTTGCACCCCCAACTCCACAGAATCAATTAGTGTGTAAAAGATATGTTTTTCTCTAGACATCTTACCTGGTTTTTTTTTTTTTCTGGAAAAAAAAATCTTTTTGGAAGGCATTCGGGTTGGGGAAGAGCTGTGAAGAATAATTTCCATCTATTTCTGGAGTAGCAGAACTGTTGGTCAAGTTCCTAAGCTGCTGGAGAGACAGTTTGGACTTAACATTAACTCTATTAATATATGGCTGTAAGACTCTGCAGAAGCGACATTAATTCCCTCGTTTACAATATTGAGGCACCAATTTCCTCCTAATATCTACATAAAGTTATCTATGTCTAAATGCTTGATTGTTCATTGCTTGTCTATGGAGAAAAACTCATAACAGGGTGGCCTTTGAGAACGGAAACTGATTCCATACTCTATAACTTATGTTTATGGCAGAATTTGTGTAAATGGATAAAACGGTGCTTTGCTGTCTTATTCATTTACACAAATTTGCTTCACTGCAACGAAGCAAAGGAAGGAGAAACACGGTGTTAGAAGTCAGAAAAGAGAGCAAGGAGTAACTGCCGGGGCAATGCGTCCGCTAGAAAAGCCACACAAGGCAGTTTCCGTTCAAGAGACACGGAGGTTCTTTGGGTGGTGGTACCACGAAGGAATAGAGGCATAAGCTTTGTGGTCGCGTTCCGCCCCACACCTCCCCACCCCCCTCTCCCCGTGTGCAAAGCAAGATTTATTTAAGAGGGTTAAAGAGGGGTCTCCTGCCATAGTGACAGAAGAGTACTCCAAGGGAGGAAAGACGGAGGAAATTTGAGAGAGCTCCTGCCACAACGGTTGCCTCTAAGTCTTAATTTCGCTAGTGAACCGGGTAATTCTGGAGACCAACCTGAAGGGTGCGGGCTACTCTGGGGAAGAATGTGGCCGGTCCTGATCCCAGGGGGTCAGCACCACCCACTCGCCAAATTCCCAAAAGTGCTTTTCCCAGGATTCAGCGAGTCCGTAGCTCCTGCAGTTCCAGCGTCCCGTGAGTGGCCGTTTTCGTCTGGCACTCACTTCCACGCAGCCTATCAGCACCGAGATACTCGGCCGCTTCGTCAAAGCCAGTGAACGTGCAGAGGCACAGAAAGGGGCGGGCCTGCAGCTGAGAACGAGCCAGTCACAGACCGCCGAGGCCAGGCGCTCGCTGAGCAGACAGTTCCGCGTTGTTTCCCGCAAGATGGCGGCTGCGAAGGACGGTTGTGGCAAAGAGTTGCCCGCGGGAAACGGACGGCGGCTTCACTTGGGAATTCCCGAGGCAGTGTTTGTGGTAAGAAACACGCTGTCACGCAGCACTTTGGCAAAAGGTTGCTGTCTTCTCTCTAGTTTCCTGCAAGTATTTACGTGTGGATGGTTGGGGGCAAGGAAGGCAGCAACGGAGCCCCTAACCTCCCGGCTCCCTGTACTGGAAAAATGCCTCGGAGACAGCGGGACTTGGGAGGGTTGCGGCGGGGTAGCGGGAGCCTGGCGAGCGGAAGCCGGGTCGGTAGTTGAGAGCTTTGGTCCTTGGCTGCCCTGGGAAGTGCAGGAGGCGAGATGGAGTGGCGCTACTCTCAGCTTTGATGCCGGAGAGTCAGATAAATGAACCCTGTCAGTTCGATCGAGTCTGCTGAAGGAATGCCATGCCTGCTGGCTCAAAGAAATGGAGGAAGAGAGCGATGAGAAACTAGGAGGTTCTCACACTCAGTGTTAAGTGCTCGTGTGACTGGCTAAGGAATTGAAGCTTCATCCTGTAGCTAATTAGAGAATGTTTGATAAAAGCACGATCTAATCATATTTGCTTTTAAGTGAATACTTTGTAAAAGGGAATGCAATTTGGAGCTTTTACACATCAGGAAGACCAAACCAAACCAAGCCTGAATAAATAAAAGCCATCAACACGATCCTTCCAGATATTTCTAGAATAGCTGGACGATGACAGAACATCTCTAAGGGGCATTATCTCTGTATTTCGTTGTGTTAATGGACTTTGGGATGTTTCTTGACCTTTTTGTCACTTTTATCGTATATTTCCATTTGTTGATTAAATTTTGTTCTGTCTTCAGTTATTTTGGGGTTTCTCCTAGAGTGTACCATCAGTTTTGTGCCTGCCTCTAAACTAACTATAACAAGAAATTAAGTTTATTGTCCACTACTTTCTCAATGAATTTATAAGATTATATCTGATTATCATTCCCAGTTCTTCTGAGAGATAAGCTGAAGGCACAGCAGGATGTGTGTGTGTGTGAAGTGTCTAGAATTTGACTCTGGACGTTCTGGCACTAAAGAGCCTCAGCTTGCCCGGCATGCTCCGCCTTGGGGAGGAAAGCTGGCTGTTCCTCCAGCCTACTGCCATTTCTCCTGCGCACGGCACATTACCTGACACTAGTAAAGTTAATGTAATATGGCTAACTGGATTTCTTTCTTGAGCGTGTGTATATATATATACACACATATCACATATATTAAAGATTTTATTTTTCTATTGGAAAGGCAGATATGCAGAAAGAAGTAGAGACAGAGAAAGATCTTCCATCCACTGTGGTCACTCACCACGTGACCGCAATGACCAAAGCTATGCCAATCCGAAGCCAGGAGCCAGGAACTTCCTTCAGACATCCCACGTGGGTGCAGGGTCCCAAGACTTTGGGCTGACCTCCACTGTTTTCCCAGGCCACAAGCAGGGAGCTGGATGGGAAGTGGAGCATCTGGGACCAGAACTGGTGCCCATATGGGATCCGGGCGCATGCAAGGCGAGGACTTTAGCTGCTAGGCCACTGTACCAGGCCCCTGCCTTAAATTTTTATTCATTATGGCTCAGCGAGTGATGCTTTCAGATATGTATGGGAAACAACTTTATCTGAGGGCTTTATAAAGTCTGTTTTTTCCCAAAATTGTATTTTTTCCAGATCTTAAAATTTCCACCAATCTTTTAATAAAAACAATCCACATTTTACAAAGTTATTTTTAAGCTTTTAAAATAATGAAACTGATGTGCATGCTATTGTGGGGGAAAAAATTAGATTCTACGTGGACCAGAGTTTAAATCTTGCTGCTTCCCAATTGCTGTTTAACCTTGAACAAATTATTGTACCACTTTGAGCTTCAGTTTGTTTAACTGGAGAAGGGATGCTGGTAATTACAGAAGTGCTATGAGAAACAGAATAGTTCAGCATTGTAGTGAATAATAGTTGTTTCTTAGTTCGAGGTTCAAGGTCACATGACATTTGCCCCTTTATGCTTCAGCTGTTCCTCTAACTCTTCTCTGTGTGATGATCTCTATCTTTGAACATGTAGTTCAGATCTAAGCTACCTCATTTTGCCCTTAAAAGATGTCACGTACTTTATTTTTTTAAGTATGTATTTATTTTTATTGCAAAGTCAGATACATATACAGAGAGGAGAGACAGAGAGGAAGATCTTCTGCCCGATGATTTACCCCCCGAACAGCTGCAACAGCTAGAGCTGAGCCGATCCAAAGCCGGGAGCCAGAAGCCTCTTCTGGGTCTCCCATGCAGGTGCAGGGTCCCAAGGCTTTAAGCCATCCTGGATTGCTTTTCCAGACCACAGGCAAGGAGCTGGATGGGAAGTGGGGCTGCCAGGACATGAACTGTCACCCATATGGGATCCTGGCGTGTTAAAGGGAAGGACTTTGGCTGCTAGGCCACTGTGCCGGGCCCAATATCATGTACTTTAATAAGCACTCTGGAAATACTGTTGAAAACCATACTTTTCATTTGACAGTTGAAGAAAATTTAAGCGGAGAGAGGCTGAATAACTGTCCCAACACTGATACATCTAGTAAGTGGTGAAGCTAGGATTTGAATCAGGCAGTCCGTGTCTTTTAACCACATAGGATGATGCTGTAGTTAATTGTCCTGGTTAGACTCTAGTTTCTGATGTGTTAGAAAGCTTGGTTTATTCTCTTTTTTAAAAAGTTATTTATTTTTATTGGAAAACCAGATTTACAGAGAGAAGGACAGACAGAAATATCTTCCATCTATTGGCTCACTCCCTAGTGGCTGCCAGGGCTAGAGCTGAGCTGATCTGAAGCCTGGTGCCAGGAACTTGTTCCGTTTCTCCCACGTGGGTGCAGGGTCCCAAGGCTACTTTGGACTATCCTCCACTGCTTTCCCAGGTTACAAACAGGGAGCTGGGTGGGAAGTGGGACATGAACAGGTGCCCATATGGGATCCCAGTGCGTGCAAGGCAAGGATTTAGCCACTGAGCCATTCTTTCTCTTCTTTGCAATGATGTCCGCAGGAAGGTATATCTCTGTTTACCTTTTCAGCTTGTATCGTATTCCTAGTGTGATAACTTCATAGTTCATCCCTTTCCTGTTTTTGTTCATGTTTTCCTGTCTTGTTTGAGCTAAAAGTATTCTCTTCGATTTAGTAAGTATGGAAAACATGAATGATGGCAGACATAGTTGAAGTAACTTAAATTGAACAAGTGTGCTTCTGAAAAGAACTGGAACACCCTTATAGAATTTCCTTCAAGTTTCCAAACATTTCCATCTAGTTTTTAATTCTTATATAATTCGCTAACTTTTTTTGAAGGACCAGCAGATGGAATACATCAAATAAATGTTAACAGAAGTTTTATCGCTTTTCTTTTGCTACATTATTAATTACAAAAAATTGTTTTGTCTGCCTGTTTGGGTTACTCTGTTTCAGCCACTTCCCAGTTAAAGAATTTCTTCTCTTGGAAGCCTAATGAGCGTATTTAGCATGATGTCTGGCAGAACCTGTTGAATTAAAAAACAGCGAGAAAATGAATAATTTCAGCATGTACCCTATTGACAAGGGGC